TCACAGTGTTTGGTGTAACTCGTACAATTGTGTTTCATCCTTAATTGGGAAAGAACTCATATTTTCTATGTTATGTGAACGCATCAGTGCAATGTCGACGTTACACTGCCCGTTGTTTCGTGTCCTAGGTTAAGTTGTATGTGTTCTCATAGTTGCCAATCAGTAGCAAATGTAAGTGTGTGTCGTCTCCCTCCCGCCACGACATCTGACAGTCTATTGTTTATTTTCAGTGAGGAAGGAGAACGAAGACATCCTGAAGGAGCTGCAGGCGGCCTCGTCAGGGATCCACACAGGGAACACCACCGTTCCGCCCACCGACCCTCCTCCGGAACCCACCCGCACCTGAGGCGCCTCGCACGCCCACCCGCCCAGCCTGCAACACCTACACTGATCTACGGAAGCAGATGTATCGTGCGTGATACAGTTACTGAGCTAACAAGAACGTTACAATAAATACAACACCTCTAGCTGGTACCGCTTCACCCACCCTCTTACCTAAAGCATGCGTCTCTAGTGACTCTCCTCCTTCCCTCACTCTCAATTAATAAACTCGCTTTTCTTTCTAAAACTTGCTAGAAGAAAAATATGTAAATCGATTTCACCGAGTCTCTACTGGCTGTTGGTGACTCCCGCTTTCCTCTTCCATAGTCCCCTTCATCCATCCCCGCCACCCATGACCAGGATAATGTAGGTGTGGTGAGGGGCTGTTAGGTGGCCATGGATCCCTGAGTGGTCAACTGACAGCCCGAGTAGTCGGTTGACAGCCAGACTGGCGTAAAAAAATGGCCGGCTGAGTCTAAGCAGTCGGCTGACCATTTAAGCAGCCAGCTGAGAACTTATAAGTTTCCTGTTGACAGTCAGTGCTGCTAGCTGACGGTCTGAGTGGCCTGGTGAGAACCTGATTGACAATACTACCATCACGGTGCCAGGTGGTGCGACAGTACAGGACCTTGGGGGGACACGTCGACGTCATCAGGTGAAGGACCTCCACCCCTCCCCCCAGTGAGAGTCCAGTCGGCCTGTTGTTAGACTGTATGACACCTTAAGGTATATCCCATGTTGTTGGTATTGGTTTTTATTTCTATTGTATATTATTGTACCGAGAATATTATAAAAAAAAGTAATGTAGTCACGTAGGAAGTGTAAATGTTATTTAAAAAAGCCTGTTGACGTGTGTTATATATATTTAAAACACTGTCTATATTATGTAAAGATGTTTTTTATTATAATTTTTACGTGTGTGTGTGTGTGTGTGTGACAACAATCAAACATCACTGCTGTTTATTTATTTTTTTTAAATAATACAAAGTGCCAGCTGTATTTCTTTGTAAACTGAGGCAATAACTACAGCTTAAGGAAGTTTAAGGTATTGTTTTACGAGTGTTTGGTGATGATTCTATCTACAGGTGGTGTTCATACTGTTTACTTAGATGTCTGCTGTTCTTTACCTCTTAGTCACAATCATTTACAGATGTAACTTCTGTTGTTCAAGTACTATCATTTACAAACGTGTATGGCATTGTCTACAAACGTTATAATATTGTTTGTAAACAACTGTGAAGCCATTCACAAATGTATGTTAAGCTATTTTACAACCGTGTATATTTTTGTTTACAAATGTGTCAATATATAAGAATATGTAACGATTTAGTTAAAATTATGTACTGTTGTTGCAGACGTGTGTACTATATTTTACAGATGTTGATACGGTTATCTGAGAACGTGTATGCTGTTGTTGACAGGTGTGTGTAATACTGAGTTGAATAGTGTGTATTTGATAAACTTACAGAACTGAATATAATACGGAAGAGTTCTGACAAAACCTGTGTGTTTGTAGTCAATTACAAACCGTTCCTTATGTGACGAACTGAAATTCATCTGCTGCTCATTTGATAATAAATATAAACATAACAATGACCTTAGTTCCGAGAACAAAATTACGACAGGTACAGTACATAGGTGAGTACTCTTTGTTAGATATGGTGTAGCCACTTTAGACTGTGATAGGTGTGTGTAAGTGAACTTATCAACTTGCCGTATATTAAAAGCGAGCAGAGTCTAGACTAGAGCTAGAGGGGCAATTCATGCTCATTAAAGCCTAGACTAGTTGCGTAGTGGTCAGTATCTCGCTCGCTGCTAGTAGTGTGTCAAAAGCAATATATCTATTTAAGTTACGCCTTTAAAAGGTATGCAGAGAAAACGGGTGGGCGTGACCTGTAGGCTGGCCAGACTGTGGTAAGGTCACCACCACCAAACCCTATTAGAAACTTATTTGAATAAATAAACAAATAAATATAATGTTCAATGAATATTGTTATGCTCTTAAGTTCATTAGTCAGCTCCCAAGTGGTTAGCAAAATGCAGGTTGAATATAGTATTATATATATATATATATATATATATATATATATATATATATATATATATATATATATATATATATATATATTCTGATAAGGAAAGAGAAAACAAGTTCCAAGCGCTTTCTGTAATTCACATCTTCAGGGGTGAGTACAGTCTGTACTCACCCCTGAAATGAATTTCACTGTGGTTATCAACTAGATCACGCGCACCTACAGTGATTTACTTGATATATATATATATATATATATATATATATATATATATATATATATATATATATATATATATATATATATATATATATATATATATATCACAAAAATTTATACTGCCTTAAGGACTTTCGTGGGGATCGCGTAAATTCTTGTATTACACAGCAACATTGTCCTTACTCGTGGGAGACCTCGCATATCAAGAGGTGAAGCCAATGTTGCTGTTGTAATATAAATTTTCAGGTGATATCCAGGAATACAAGTAAGACAGTGTATATACATTTTTTCAGACACCTTGTAGTGTTGGTGTGTGTATAGAAGCAGTGGTAAATATTTACCCTTATGATCCAGGATGCAGGTGGCCGGGGTTCATATGATCAAAAGTTTAGGAGCTCGACCTAGCGTCTTGACAACGAGTGAGTGAAGTGTTGTCAACGCAGCGGCCTTGTTTTGTGACCAGGAGCTGGTGTACATCCCACTGTATCACTAAAACTAATGTATAGTGAAAAATTACTAGTTTTCATATTTTTTACCTAAACAAATTGACTGAATGGAGTATACAGTAATATTACCATAAGCGGACAATAGAAATTCATATATATATATATATATATATATATATATATATATATATATATATATATATATATATATATATATATATATATAATATATATATAAATATATATATATATATATATATATATATATATAAAATATATATAAAAAATATATATATATATATATATATATATATATATATATATATATATATATATATATATATATATATATTAGTTGTTTAATGATGGACAATGAATTAATGAAATAATGTATGATCATACATTCCTACGAGTATGAAACTTGATAAGGAAATATATACAAAAATATGTATGTTGAACTGGGTGACGCATCTAGTTATACAGTTATTAAAGAAATTATGTACAGGTGTGTTTTATTCCAGCCTTCCGACCTGGACCTGTTACCTTATTTAGCTGGTACACACACACAGGAATGAGCCGACAGACACGTCTGGTTGTTGCTCTCCCCCAAACAGCGTGCAAAATTTCACTGTCAAAGGCGTAGCTTGGCTTTTTTTGTCTGTGTAAGCAGCTATGCTACACATGGGTGCCCGAGACTGAGGTGTGATCACTGACTGAGGTGTGTCCCGCCTTCACACCAGCCACAGTACTCTAGGATGTCATGACAGAAAACAAAGCCCAACTGATGGTCCCTGGTGCACTAAATATTAGGTGTTTAGTGTAGACGTCACTGGCCATTAATACACAACATAGAATACATAATATTACAATAAAGGTGAGTACAGTAGAGTAGAGTAGAGTAGAGTAGAGTACAGTACAGTGCAGTGCAGTACAGTACAGTACAGTGCAGTACAGTACAGTACAGTACAGTACAGTACAGTACAGTACAGTGCAGTACAGTACAGTACAGTATTATATGTTGAAACTTGTAATAGCAACACAGTAAACTAATTTTTCGTCAATGAATGTCCACAATGATCTCAGTCTCAGCCAAGAAGGTAACTTACATAACAACAACAGAAGAAACTCATATGTAAATTAAAACAGTCTTTACTATGGTTTATTATTGGTCAGGTTGAAACATAGTTTAAGCTCCTTTTATTAATCTGACAAAATGACTGTACGACATGATCTCTGTCAATTTTGTAGTGCTCATATGCGTGTACAGTCTCACCCAAAAGTTCGTTTACTCTCCCAGCCATCTATTGCTGCACACTGCCTGCTTCAGATGTATGAACTTGAGTCAGCTACTTCGAACCTTTAGATTCATTCGTACCGGTTTCATGTTCTGGTTGGTACTGAGACAGTTTCAAACATTTGAAGCAGACAGTGCAGCAATAGCTGGCTGGGAGAGTTAACGAACTTTTGGGTGAGACTGTACCATACATAGAGCTGATAGCCGTTCAGTTGTCACAGTGCTCCTAAGATAATTCTTCACCCGATGCTTGACGCTAAAGGACCTTCCTCCTGTTGTAGTCAATTCAGGCTCATTTATCAATATACAGTACTATACATACAGCAGTGTATAAGATGGGGTATAAGTCTTTGTTCATGCTACGAATAGTTTCAGTGAGAGGTGTAGGCTTCTCCTCTTGCCTGGTCATGTTCCATCGGGTTCCACAAGGGAGGCATTCTTTATGGAACTCCTGATTGTTGTTGCTGGGATGTGGTCTTGGTAAACTGTATACATGTGATCCTGAGCGTCTTCTGTGAGTTCCCGGAGTTGAGTGGGACTACTGTATATACTGAACTGCTAATCTTGCTTGTGGTGTCATCAGTCTGCTCTCTAACTCCTGAATTAAGAAGTCAATGCTGACGTTATCAGCAGTGTATTGACGCGGTGATCCTTTTGGGAAACACATGATGGCATTATGGGACTGACATTAATCTGTGAAGCCAGGTCAACAGCTTCATCATACAGGACATCCCCGACATTATCCTCATTCCTCTCGTTCTTCAGGTCAACAATTACTACAACTAACTCAATTGACGCTGCAGCTACATCACATGACTTGTCCTGCAGCATATGAGAACAGAGCTTTGCAGTATATGCTCAACAGCAAAGAGACATCCAATAAAATCAAACCTCTGTCTGGAGCAAAGTAAGGCACGTGCTTTACCAGCATTGTCATCTTGTAGACTGGCAAGAGCATCAGCCAAGACGACCATGGAAGAGAGAATCAGGCCTGTTGGACCACCGTTTACATATAAGCTACTGTACGTAGTTTGGTACGCTTCTGCATGTGATCTCTGGCAAGTTCATTTTCTTCCAAGCTTGATCTGAACTGTAGAAGTCGCTTGACTGAATAATTAAAGGCAAACTCAGCCTCCTGTGCTGTTCCCATCATGTCCCGTACTGGTGTGTCCTTAGATGAATGAACAAGAGTTAGGTGGAGAGAATGGGCCTTACAGTGAACATACAGTACATAGCTCCTTTGACTGGTGCAAGCTTGAACCCATATATGGATGCCGGACATATTAGCTGCATCATCACACCCCTATGCACACATCACACCACACAGCTTTGGTTTATCTACAGATATATGACAGACTTTCTCTCCTTTGGTACTGGCCCAAGTAACGAACACATATGGAGGCTATGTGAGGGAGCTGCGAGGAAACCGGTTCATTTAGTTCATATTATGAATGACGCACAAACTTTTTTTTCTAATTTTAAAATCATTATATTATTGATTCTAATTTATCATCATCATTTATTAATACATTTAAAATGCCTCAACTGTCTAGTTAACACCAAGTTTTGCTCAATGTATACTTACAGTATAAAATAGGGGTAACAAACTTAAGAAAAAACATACCGATACATGACGCTCATTGCTCGTTCTTCAGAGAAGGATAATCTAATATCTTTACTTGACATCCTGTTAGGCTCCTGCAAGATGGCCGTAGACACCAAAGAAAGTGCTTGGCATATGATTTCACTTCAAAGTGACATCTAAAGTCTTGTCTGTTGACATGAAATCTTAATAATGCACTGACCTCCACCTGACACTTAACAGCCAGTTTCTCGTCCCGACTCCTAAGCCTCTGACACGTTTGATTCCTGCACTTCGGCACCTGAGTTATCCAGAGATTCGAGCGCCAGCAGTTGCCTAGCTTATACTACAGGCAGGCAAGGCGTGACTAAATGGAAATATATCAACAACTCAGAGGACAGATTCAGTCGAGTGTCCTTACCTAGAGCTGGCCGGACGCCCGCTCCACAAGGGGTCACAGCTCACGGTTGAAGAAGCCACAAGTCCAGAAAACTATGATGGCAAACTTTTTAGGAGTGAGAATTGTGAACTCTTAGAACAACCTGCCAGAAAGTGTCGTGACGGCACCGAGTGTGAGCTCTTTCAAGACCAGACTTGACCAACGCTGGAACAAGTCCAGATACATTCAGGAGCCAGTACATGCCCAGTACGTGCCAACAGTGTGTAACAGAGACGTAACTGACCGTCCGAGCGGCTGAGAGCCGATCAGAGGCAAAAAGGATAAAGTAAAAGTAATATTAGCAACTTTTTCTTTCTGCTGTTCCCGTGTTTTATTTTTATTAAGTCTAATATTTTTACTGCCAGTGGAACAAACACGCTTTACACCTCTGAACTGACGCTCAGTGTTAAAATATATACAGTATATATATATATATATATATATATATATATATATATATATATATATATATATATATATATATATATATATTTAGCGTCTTTATTCAAGATGTCTTGAATAAAGACGAAAGCTAAGGTACTCCGTTGTTTCCATTTTCCCGTGTGATTTTATCAAGATTTATCTTATCCACGTTTTCATTGTGGATTTACATAAAATATATATATATATAAGGTCATGATACGGAATAAATGCTTTGCTGTGATTTCATGTATAAATAATAACGTGAGAACTTCATCTAAAATGTCCTAAATTTCCAATCTACGTTTTTGATTGGATTTGGGTATTGACGTAATGCAAGACGCCACCATACAGGGTAGTGACGTCAGCAAGGTTCCACCATACAGGGTAGTGACGTCGGCAAGATTCCACCATACAGGATAATGACGTCAAGCAGGATTCCACCAAACAGGCTAGTGACGTAATGCAAGAGTCAACCATACAGGCTAGTGACGTCATGCAAGATTCCACCATACAGGGCAGTGACGTCATGCAAGATTCCAACAGACTAGTGACGTCATGCAAGATTTCATCACAAACTGTTGGCGTAATGCAAGATTCCACCATACAGGGCAGTGACGTCATGCAAGATTCCAACAGACTAGTGACGTCATGCAAGATTCCACCATACAGGGCAGTGACGTAATTGAACATTCCACCAGACTAGTGTCGCCATGCAATATTCCACCTTAGAGACTAGTGACGTCACACAAGATAATACCACACAGGCTAGTGATGTCATGCAAGATTCCACCATACAGAGTAGTGACGTAATACAAGACACCACCTTATAAGCTAGTGACATCATGCAAGATTCCACCATACAGGCTAGTGACGTCATGCAAGATTCCAACATGAAGGGTAGTGACGTCAAGAAAAATTCCAACATGAAGGGTAGTGACGTCAAGAAAAATTCCAACATGAAGGGTAGTGACATCATGCAAAACTCCACCATACAGACTATTGACGTCACAGAAGATTCCACGACACATAATAGTGACGGCATGCAAAATTCCACCATACAGGCTAGTGACGCCATGTAAAATTCCATCATGCATGTTAGTGACGTCATACAAGATTTCATCATACAAGATTCCACCATACAGGGTAGAGACATCATCCAAGACTCCACCATGCACACTAGTGACATCATGCAAGATTTTACCATAGTGTAGTGACGTCATGCAAGATTCCGCCATACACACTAGTGACGTCACGCAAGATTCTACCATAGAGCAGTGACGTCATGCAAGATTCCACCATACATGCTATTGACGTCATGCAAGATTCCACAATACATACTATTGACATCATGCAAGATTTTACCATACAGGCTAATGACGTAATGCAATATTACACCATACAGGGTAGTGACGTCATGCAAGATTCCACAATACATGCAAGTGACATCATGCAAGATTCCACCATACAGTCTAATGATGGCATGCAAGATTTCACCAAATAGGCTAGTGACGTCATGTAAGATTCCACCATACAGGAAAGTGACGTCTTGCAAGATTCCACAATAGACTAGTGACACCTTGCAAGATTCCACCATAAAAGCTAGTGACGTCATGCAAGATTCCAACATACAGGCTATTGATGCGGTACAAGATTCCACCTGTGCCCGGGTGGGCTAATCTTCGTATATAATAAAAAATAATAAAAAAAATAAAAAATAAATCTGATTCGGGGATTTTGCCATTTGCAATCTGTAGATCTAATAATTCTATGACACTTACCTCGTAAATGTCAAATAACGGATGATATTGGAGGTGTTTTATTCTCTTGTTATTATCATATACGGGAGCAACTGTCACCTGCTCACTTTGTTTACAACCGACCCACTATCCAGGATAATCTCACGTCTACAAAAACGTAAAGTTACACCATGATGATACAACAAACTTGCTTTCATTGGTAACAGATATCAAAATACGTACTTTCTCTTTATGGCAGAGGGTTGGCCCCCGTCTAGGAAGTTAGGCAAGGTTAGGTTTCTTTGGTTGGTTAGGTCAGGTTCTATTAGGTTCCTTATTATTTACTTGCGACGGAAGTGTATAGAATGACAGTTCGTCAAAACAATTATATATATATATATATATATATATATATATATATATATATATATATATATATATATATATATATATATATCATGTGTTAAAAATCCTTGACTCCATGGCTGTACGAAACTGAAATTTTACAAAAAAAACACTCCATGAATAATATGCCTCAAAGAAATCGGTGACTAGTATGCCACTCAAACTCAGTGAATAATGTCACTCACTTAAAAACGTCAATGAATAATATTCCATTCACTTAAAAAATCAATGAACAATATGCCATTCACTATAAAAGCTCAATGAATAACATGTCACTCACTAAAAAATTAATAGTATGCCCCTCACTTCAAAACTAAATGAATATTCCACTCACTCAAAAACTCAAAGAACAATATGCCAATCGAAAAGGCCGCTCACTAAAAAGAGCTCGATGAATAATATGCTACTGACTTAAAATAATGAATAATATGCCTAACACATAAAAACTTATGATTTAATCTTTTAAAACACCTACATATTGCCTTACAACACTTCAGCAACACGCACACTACAATCACACTGGGATGTTTTGTTGGGGAGTCTGTCCAAAGCAACGAAAACAATAACAAAGCGTCTAGACGAGGTTCGCCACGGATCCCGTTACTACAGCTAAGGCCTTGCAGGATTGTGCTATAGTTCTTCAATTGCTGAAGCAAGAGAGGCGTCTACAACAGAGAAAAGACAAATGGGTGCATCGTAAAGTTTCTTTAAAAGTGGCGGCGGCTGGCTGGTCAAAGAAGACCCTGAATAATGATTTAATAATACTAAAGAAATTTTAAAGTGACGAATAAATAGAATTATGTCATCTTTTATGTATTATATTTTAAATTATCAGTGTTTCATGATTTATTTTAATTTTTACTTGAAATTACATGAAGCTCATTTGAGCACTAATCCGGCGAGCAAAGATCCCCGCCAAACAATTTCCAGCAACAGCCGAAATCCTGCTGCTTGCTGGGCGTTTTCGTTAACGGCCAGCAAAAGGGACAACATATTTAGAGGAAAGTGCCCAATGTGCCGCCACCTTAATCCCAACTTTAAAAAACCAACCGGGCAAATCTTGTAGCACTCACCATTACTTTGTTCCATGGCTGCTGGTGAGGTCCTTATCCCTAGAATCTTTTATCTTCCTTGAAATCCAATCATTTTACCAGTTGGTGCAGTTACCATTGCTAATTATATAATACACACATGGTAAATCCACCTATATCCACTGTACACTTTAGTTAGTATGAGGCACTTAAGTTTCATAGCCTTTTGTTAATACGTTTATACACACTGGGTAACTACGAGCGCTTGTTTACACCCATTTACCTAGTTAACTTACAACAGTAGATAATACACCAAAATACTGTGAATAATATCTCTCACTTAGTTTAACCCATTTTAAGGAGTGATTTGGTATTCCTAACCAGAGTTCTATTTCTCCTACCTAGTTGTTGATGAACTACTCTAGTATAATTACTAACACCGTTGCGTGCTGAACGACCTCTTAGTTGTTGAAGCGTAATCATATTATAACGTCAACGTTAACGCTATTCCTTTGACTATTTTATTCCAATGAAGCG